AAGGCGTTGTATTCTCAATGTTGGTGTTTTGACTTCCCCCCCCCCACAGCCACTGTCTGCTCATCTCTGTCTAACCTGGAGGGAGAGGAGACGTTCGAGGTGGCCATGCTGGGTCAGGCGGAGGAGGTGGTGCAGGAGAGAGTGTGTGACGACGAGCTCATCCTGGTCAAAAAGTGAGATCACGTTCCTTTTGTGTCAAAAGGACAGAACTTATCACTGATGTTAGCTGGTGTGTGTTTAGGAAAAGTGTTTAGCCAGTGTAGTGAAAGTCTGGTTCCCTGTACCTTGCACTAGCATTATCCTGCAAATGAGCGCTAAATCTTTTTATCTGAATAATCTGTACGTCTCAAGTTAAAAAGATGCTTTTCCAAACACTGAAGACAAATCTCACATTAAAGGCCCGTACACACCGGGACGCGTTTTTCAACGCGTTTTTTGTGTTCACACCCAAGCGTTTTTCGCTGACGATGAGCCGAGTGAACATGCAAATTCATTCCTTGACATTAGATGGCGCTTAATGTAAACCAGAAATAATAATAGGGTGATCATATTCATGTTTCAATGTTTTATTATGACAGATAAAAAAACGAATGAAGTAATGATAGAAATAATTCTGTCTTCTGTATTAGAAAAATAAATATATAAATAATAAATGCCTAAAAGAAATGCCTCCAAATGCAACAAAAATAGCTCTCACGAACTTAAAAAAACGAACTAACAAAATCTATTTATATCTTTAGTTTTCATCCTCTTTATCTTGTTTTTCTTCCTCGTCCACCTTGTTTGTCCATCTATATTTTGCTGTAGAACTGATCTTTCCCAGCAGTTTTTTTGAAAACCAGGCCTTTTCATCACTTAAAAACAGTCAGGACGGGACGTGGAAACAGGACATGTGTAACGCAAAGTTGAGATGTTGCCCAGAGATAAAAACATACCAGTTGTCGGATGAACAGATGCACGAGAGACGAGAGTTGTCGTATTTCCCCGCGTTTAATAAAACCACTCAAACGTTACACTCGTCCTCATACATGGGGATCGAGCGAGAAAAAAAAACACAAACAATCATCTGGTCACAATAAAAAAATAAAATAAAAGAAAGAATACAAAGAGTCGGCAGAGCGGTTATCTCCTCTCCTCACTTGTCAAAATCTAACTGACACTACGCAGTTCTCATCTCAACTCAGATTTCTATAAAGCACAAAGTGACCGTTTTACACATGTCCCGGGAAAACAGGACTGTTGGTCACCCTATACTATACTATTATTACAGAAATACTAATATAAATATTATCATATAGCTCTTTATGCTCCGAGAACAGCAGCTCAACACTCATCTTGCCCATAGGTATCTTATCTCTTCTTCGCCGTATGTGTGCTCGGCAAGACCGTTTTGTGTTTGAGCGCCCCCAAGTTGAGTTTTACTGTAACTTCAGAAGTACCAGACACGTGAGCAAACCCGCCAATCTCGTTGGTCGGGTTGGTTTTGACGCGGCGCGTCAAATGACGCTTTTACCCGTGGCGTTTTTCGCGCGTGAAATTCGTCCCGGTGTGAACAGGCCTTAAATTTGCACTGAAAGAAAGTTGCGTTTGTGTTAAGTCACATTTTATTATTACATCCAGAAATCATGTAAATAAAATATTTAGAGTGAATAATTGAAATGAATGTCACTAGAATGTGTTTTATAAGCACCAACCCTAAATATCTCTTCACACTTAAGTTGTACAGCACAAACTTATGCTAATTAAATGTGCTAGTAAAATATGTATATATTATAATATAATAACAATAATATAGGGATCAGAAGTGAGCGAAATAATGTTTCTACAACTAAATCCCCTGCAAAAAAACAAAACAAAAACAAGATCAGTGGTGAAATGACTAAAATAAGTCGAAGTTGTAAAACTGTATTTTTTTTGTCAAGCCTGAAAGTTTTGGAGGAAACTCTTTTCCCTCTGTGTATTTCAGCACAAAGGCGCGTACGTGTGCCTCCCTCATCTTGCGCGGGGCGAATGACTTCATGTGTGATGAGATGGAGCGCTCGCTGCACGACGCCCTGTGTGTGGTGAAGAGGGTGCTGGAGTCCAAGTCCGTGGTGCCAGGAGGTGGCGCTGTGGAGGCGGCTCTGTCCATCTATCTGGAGAACTACGCCACAAGCATGGTGAGCGCACAGCCAATGTTGTTTTGTTGCTGATATATAAATGTCTAAATGCAACAGGCAAGCTTTTATTGTCAGATTGAAGTTGAGACCAGTTTCTATGGTTTGAGTGTGTGTATGATTGTGCTCCTGTTATAATTGCTGCCTTGTGCGGTTACGTGAGTGTGGAAAGAGACAGATAAACAGCTCTGCTGACAGCTGCATCCATCCTGCTCGAAACTAACACACACACAGTTTAGCATCGAGGCTTATTAACCCTCACTAGGTCTGTGTGTGATCTGTTACAGACTGTTCATAATTCATTCATTTTCTCCTCTGAGTGATTTATCTGTTAACCTTTCTAGACAGACCTACTGTTAACACTGAGGTTTAGTAAAGCTATACATCAGTGAGATTTCAGCATAACACTAACAAATAGTTAAAGGAGTAGTTCACTTTAAAAAAAAAAAAAACGTTTGCTGATAATTTACTCACCCCCATGCCATCCAAGATGTCCATGTCTTTCTTTCTTCAGTTGAAAAGAAATTAAACATTCCAGGATTTTTCTCCATATAATGAACTTCAATGGGAACCAAACGGTTCAAGGTCCAAAAGACGGTTTCAGTGCAAACTGCTCAAAGGGCTTTAAAATGTTTCAAATCAAATCTTTTTCAGAGTCATTTGGTTGATTCAACAAACAAAATGAACAAATTGAAAAAGATTTGTTCATTTTGATGAACGAGTTCGAACAGGAGAGTCATGAACGTGCATCACAGAACAGAGCAAGGCGAGCATTTGAGCTTATAAAACTTAAACCTTTTTATTTATTTTTTAAAGGAGCGATCGTTTCGCTTTATAAGACCCTTATTCATCGTCTCAAATCATTTAAAGCCCTTTGAACAGTTTGCACTGAAACTGTCTTTTGGACCTTGAACCGTTTGGTTCCCAATGAAGTCCATTATATGGAGAAAATCCTGGAAAGTTTTCATCAAAAACCTTAATTTCTTTTCGACTGAAGAAAGAAAGATGTGGACATCTTGGATGACATGGGGGTGAGTAAATTATCAGCAAATGTTTTTTTAAAAGTGAACTACTCCTTTAACACTACAATAAGGTTCAATAGTAACTAACAATGAGCAATTCATCTTTGTTAATGGAAAATAATTAAAAATACAACTCTTCATGTTCGTTCACAGGTGCAAATAATGTTAACAACATTTGATTTTAATAACGTATTAGTAAATGTTGAAATTTATATTAACAAAGAGTACTAAATGCTGAAGAACTATTGTTCATTCTTAACTAATGAACCTTATTGTAAAGTGTTACCATTGTTGTTTTTTTCAATTTTAATTGCTGAATTAAATTGAATGATCTGTTAACCACAATCCTGAAAAGAATATGTTACAATGGAAACAGGAATTGTTGCAGAGTCTATATATTTTTCAATATTCTGGGGGGAAATCATGGTTCACAGTACATGACTGTTGTACTCTGTTGTAAATATACGGTAATTGTGCTTTTTAATCATTTGCTTGTGACGTTAATGCATATAACTGTTGTGTGTGTGTTTGTAGGGTTCCCGTGAGCAGCTGGCTATTGCTGAATTTGCTCGCTCTCTGCTCATCATTCCTAAAACCCTGGCAGTGAACGCTGCGCAAGACTCCACCGACCTGGTGGCCAAACTCAGAGCCTTCCACAACGAGGCTCAGGTCAACCCTGAACGCAAGAACCTCAAATGGTCAGTGTCGCTCTCGTCTCATCACACAGGGAACCTGTTCAGCTCTTAGAAATACGACTGCACTGTCAGACAGCAGACAAACATGCAATCAGGAATTAAAATGCTAGTGTTTAGTGGTTTACTTGCATGAAATGGCTGTCAAATGGTTTTGTAGATTGATGGGATTTGTTCAGACAATAATCTGGAAGTAATGTGGCCTATAGACCCTTTTACAGTTGGTAAACATGGTGACGTTTTTTTGTGGGCGGAGCTTAGGTGGAGGCAGAAAGATCCATCTGGCCGCTTCACTAACGCTAGTTAGCAAGAATTGTTAGCTTGTTTTTTAACAATGACTGGAGAAAATACGATATTATCTTAATGTGTAAGGTCACTCAGTGTCCAGGACCGCGATTGTTATTTCCAAAAGTAATTTTTAACGGACAGAACCAGATTGGCCGACCAGTAGCCGCCAACACGCTCGCTCAATGCATGGACGATCTGACAGGATTAACGTTACGTTACCTCGGCTGAGTGGCCTGACTTCTACACCTACCTCATAGAGAAACCGATCGTAAAGAGAAACTGAGGGCATATAAATCTTTAGATGCCTATATGTACAAGACTTGTGTGTACGATCCGCAGTTCTGCCGAGACGACGACAATGTAAAGTGTGACATTACAGTGTGATTTTAATGATGTGAATATTTTCTAGAAATAAAAGTTCCAGACACAGCATATTAATTTTTCATCAATTCTTGCACCAGACAACACAACAAGATGACATTTAATAATAGTAACAATTATTTAAGCTCCTTATTATGTAGCCGAATCTGTGCTGGTTTGCATTGACCGCCTCCAGTTTTTACTTTGTTTTGCCTCCAGCTAGCGTTGTGACGTAACTGACGTCGGCACAAAAGGGGTCTATTATGGATTAAACCAAAAGCCAATGCAGTTTAAAAATAGATGGATTACTCTGTTTATTTAGGATCGGGTTGGACCTGGTAAATGGAAAGCCAAGAGACAACAAGCAGGCGGGAGTGTATGAACCCACAATGGTCAAAACCAAGAGTCTGAAGTTCGCCACAGAGGCAGCCATCACTATCCTCCGAATCGACGACCTCATCAAGCTCTACCCGGACCAGAAAGAGGGCGGACCGTCCTACCAGGACGCTGTCCAATCAGGCTCTCTGGAGGGTTAAAGCCCAGCTGCATCAAATCATCAGTTGGCTGCTTCCGGTGTCACTCCGCTCAGCTTTGTATTTATATTTGGATCCAACAGATGAGCTGTTAGTGTAGAATGTGCACTTTGTTTGCGTTACTTATTTTGTGCTGTTAACATGGCTATTTGTCATGTGTAATGTAACAAATGTTCCTTTTTCTGACATTTCAAAAGAATAACAATAAACCAGAATGATGTAAAAAGGAAAATTGATTGGCATTTTGTGCTTAAAGATATTAAAACCATTGACGCAGACGCTGATGTTCAGTTATGAATGGGTGTTTTTGTAATTCAATATTTTAACTGAATGGACTTTATTAGACAAAGGCATTTCATATTAAATAAATAAGACCAAAACAATCACGCCAGTTATGAACTACCACCAACTCATTTCAAGCTATAAATGTGAGTTACAACTTTCCATGCAGGAAAACTGGATGGTGATTTACACTGCCAGGCTTTAAAATAATTTTATTCTAAAACATTTAAGCTGTTCACAATTTATTTTGTCAGAGGTAGTGTGAATCACCATCCACTTTTCTTCTGTGGAAAACAGGCTCTTCTCCAAGTAACCCGGTGATACTTTTCATATTCGGTGAACTCTTCAAGAACTTAAACAAAAAACGTACTGAATGTCGAGTTGTTTTTCTTTTCAGTAGTTGACTACTTGGCCTCAGCCGGTGATGTTGGCTTTTAAACGTAAACATGGCCTGAGCTTGATATTACGAAGCCTACAGTCTCACATTTTGGCCATGAAACCAGAAATATGCTGCATCCAATTTCATCTTGTGAAGAACTACTCGCCATGAACTTTCCAATAGGTCACAAATAAGACCAGTTATAAAGTTTGCAAGTAGACCGTCCCAGCAGTCTTGAGGACTTGTTGACAAGTTGGATGCATTTAATGTAGTTACTTGAGCTTGAATTGACCTTTTTCAGGCCAATTTACACAGACTAGCATCTCCATGGATCCAGTGGCATATCTGGGCGTACTTGCTAGGTGTTATTCTGACTGCCACATTATAGTCCTTCTGTATCCCATCGACATCCACCCACTGGTGTCCAGAGAAAACACCAATTACCTTCCTCTTCCACTTCCCTTTTCCCACCTGGTCCCGTAGCCTCACGTACACACCGGCTCCACTCGACCCCTTCTGCGCATCACAGTACTGGTACATCAGGTCGTTCGATTCCTCCGAGACCGAACAGAAGCGGTAGACCACTTTCCCTAATTGGTCTTTATCGAAACTAGAGAAGTGGATTCTTCCAGCTGGGATGTCCTTAACCACTGGAACGACTCCTAACTCCATGAACTTCATCTTATGGGGTCGTTTGAGCTCCAGAAGGGCGTAATCGTAGTCGGCCGAGACCTCATTCTCTGCCCTCCTCGTCCAACCTGTCGGCACTCGAGTCAGTTTGACTCGTGTCCACCGGAACACTGGTTGTCTGGACTGGTCTGAATCTGTGTCTCGCCTAAAACGGTTCTTCCTTTTCCTTCTGTTGTCGCTAACTTTTTGAAGTAGTTGTCCTTCAGCTTCTCCCCTCTTTTCTCCGCTCCTCCTGCCTCCTTGGCGACGTCCTCCCCTGGGTTTGGAGCGAAGCTTCATGATACCCACTCGGAGCCTCTTGGTCCCTTTCAAATAGTCTTGGCCATCATGGACACAGTGGGCTGAAGTCAGGACATGTCTTGGGGAAACCAAGATGCCTGAGCAACCCGTGGAGAGCTTCACTGAGGCAGAAAAGGGGTAATTGGTGGTGAAGTGTTTATCTGTGATCACAAAGCGCCCATCCATGCCGTATACCTGCCGTTTCCTGCGTTTAAGGTGTCCTGTCTTACAGACCACAGAAGAGGTCGTGTTTCTTAAATCAGGGACCCCTTCCAGTTTTATTTTGGTGAAGATGCGTGTCCCATTCTCGTAGATGGTTTCATAAGACAGTAGTCGTTCCAGCTCAGCAGGCCTCGGTTCTGGCAGCTTTCGTTGGCACTCAATCCCGCACATCACTCGTGGCTCACTTGCGTCGACAGCAGTGAATTCTGGGCTTTGAAGCCTCACTGTGCTTTCGTCCAGGATCACTGGGACTTTAATCTGTGTCAAGTGGCAGTCGTCTTCATAGTTAGTGGTAGAAGCACCAGTGGAGACCAAAGACACAGCCACAGCCAATGCAGTCAGTCTGAACAACAAAGATGGACGACCTGTCATTTTGTTGTACCTGAAGATAAAGAGACAAGAGTTCAGGGGCCATTTGCATAAACATAACAATTATGGTAAGACTCTCTATGGGTGTGTTCACACTTGACATGTTTGGTTCAATTAAAACAAACCATGGTGCGATTGCTCTGTTAGTGTGGTTCATTTGAATAAGTGTGAGCACTGCCGTCTGAACCTTGGTGCCACCAAACAAGAGGACCCGAGACACTGAAATGATGAGTCTCAGTCCACTTCCAAACAAACTCTGGTGCGGTTTGACTGAAATATGAACTCAACACACACCAAAATTTGTGGGGGGAATTTTTTACCCAGAACTTCATTTAGACCCTGGTTCCTAAACAGACCGAGTACCACCACAAAGTTCCTAGTTCCTGGGGAAAGTTCCTGCGGTGGAAACGCGGCTCAAGGTAACAGTCCAGGCCATTGAACGGAGTAGACTTCAATACTGTATTGGCGTCTACTCTGACGAAGCAGGTTTTTACACTTTGTCACTTCATGTGATCGATCAGATTGCTGATTCTATTTACATATATAGCTGCAAGCAGCCATTACCGGGGCTTTGTTAGAACAAAGCATTTGTTTAGTATAGCATTTTGTCAATGGGAATTTCATGTTTTGTTCTATTATATCGCCACCAAGAGGCTCAGTCCCACAATTTTTTTTATGTGTCCTCAGAGTGAGCCCATACATATGTGTGTCAATTTTGGTGAAAATCTCAATTATCTCAATTTGCTTAAGAGTTATAGACATTTATATGAAAAAACACGTAAAAAATGACCCACACATGACTTTGTTTGAATTTTACTACCCCTTACTATCAATATTTTCGCATTTGGGCATTGGCGTATAGCTATCGACCTATGTCTCCAATTTTCTGACGGTGGTTTTGTCTCGATCGGAACAGCGGTTTCGAAGATATCGCCAAATGTTTTTCCGCGTTAAATCGCTACGTTACACCAACCGTAGGCCGAAACCCAGCATGTTTGGTATCGTTGGACTCGGCAATGATTCAGGAACTCAATAAGATGACTCCCGTGAAAATAAGTGTACCACACCCAAAGTTTTAAGCGTTTGGAAAAAAACTTGTTTTGAAACTTCGCAGGGTCCTTCAAGGCATCGTACTAATGACCCATACCAAGTTTCGTAACAATTCGTTCATGCGTTCAAAAAATACAGCATTTTAGCACATAATTCAAAATGGCCGACAGTCAAAATGGCCGATCTGGGAAAATTGGATATCAGTCGACTCGGCATGACGCCCTGAATCTAACAAGACCAAGTTTATGATTTTTGGAAAAACCGTTCAGAAGTTATGAGCAAAAATGGCCATTTCTCCGGACCAGTAGGTGGCGCTGCGTCGAAACGCAGCATGTAGCCTCAAGTCATGCTTGTGATGACATGTACCAAGTTTGGTCTGAAAACGAGTAAGAGTTGCGGAGATACAGCCTTACGTCCGTTTTTGCAAGCACTACGTAAAATTAGTTTGTGCGTTTATCGAAAACGGTTATTCGAATCATCTTGAATTCCATAAATTTTTGTCAGCACTGCCTGGAGATGATCCGGTGAAATTTTGGTAAAAATCGGAGAAACCCTCTAGGACGAGTTCGCAAAAGTATGTTTTTTGGACAATTCAAAATGGCGGCCATTTTTTCTCAACAAAAAATGACGTCATAGGGTGCGATAGAATCAGCATGAGCTCAGGAACATGAGGAAAAAAGAATAAAAATTGTGTTGCTAGGCCTTACGGTTCAAAAGTTATTAGCATATTAAAAGTGAAAGTTTGGACAGTTGGTGGCGCTAGAGGGAATGAGTTAGAGACACCAAAATTGGTGAATTTAATGTTGGGACTGTCCTCTATCAGAATGTCAAACCAAAACAACTTTCCCGCAAACCGGTCCATGGGCTGCCATAGATGCCCAGTAGGAAACGGAAGAAGAATAATAAGAATCAGAACGATTACAAAAGGTGCCCACACCTTCGGTGCTTGGTCCCTAATAATATACTCCTGGTATTTATATGGAAATGTAACGATCACTTCTGGTAGTGATAATGTGGGAATACAAAATGTTGGTGCAATTGATATGGTTAATGAAAATTAAAAACAGGAGGTGGCTACTTCAACAATTGACTGCTCTGATCCCAGGAATTGCTATGTTGAAGTGCTGCCATTTTGGGTGGAGTAAAATTCACAGGTGGCTTGAACAACCATGCATTTACACTATAGGATCATACCACCTCTGGAGATCATGAGAAAATAAATCCAGAAAATGTACCAAGTGTAAATACTGAACCTCCTAATAGTAGTTCTTGTAGCTCAATTAGATTGTGGCACAATGTCAAGTCAAGGGTTCAAATACCTTGAAATAAACTAAATTGACAAAATGTTTTCAAGAAAATAAGAGGCAAAACAGAAATACTTTACATTTACGGTAAGAAAAAATAAAATAACTCTGGCTGTGACAAATACAGAGAATTGCGTGTGCCATTTATTTAATATCCAAGTACAGTTCTGGTTTTATTGGCAACCCTAAAATGTGAGTACACAGAATTTAGAATATTTTCAGAAATCAGTGCAAATTAACCAAATTAGTATAATCAGAATATTTTCAAGACATGTGGAAAGTTATTGAACAACAACAAACGTAGGCATTAATATAGTGACATTAAAAGTACAGACAAAACGTACGCTGGACACAATTATTGGCAACCTTTACTAATCTTTGGTTGCACAACTTTGGCAACAATAACAGCCTCTAAAGGTTTCTTGTAGCCATACTTTTGTACTTCTACTTTTCAAACGTTTCTTGTAGCCATCTTGAAGCTTCTTAGACTTGTCTGCTGCTGGTGTTTTCTGCCACTCTTCCATTGCTATGCATTCAAGCTCTCTAGAGTTTACAGGAGTCCTTTTTGCAAAGGCTGATTTCCACTCTTCCCTACGTTTTTCAATGGGATTTATGCCATAAACACTCATTTTCAGCCATTCTTTGGTGCTGTTAGATGTGTGTTTTGGGTCGTTGTCCTGCTGAAAGAGTCACATCTAACAGCCCTTCACCTCAAACCTAACACATTTCACTTCAAAATGCTTCATCATTCAGGCAGCAAAGCCTCTCCACAGCATGAGAGTTCGAGTGTTTTATTTGTTTCCTTACATGCTTCATTTTGCCACTTGTAAACAAACTAATGCACTGCGTTTCCAAAGAGCTCTGCTTTGGTTTCATCTGCCCAGAACATTATCCCTGACAGACTGTGGCTTATCTATGAAGGATCTAGCAAGATCTAGCCAAAATTGTATTGTCTTTTTGTTCCTGGATTTCAATAGTGTTGTCCTCCTTGGCCTTGGCTGAAACCAGCACAGGTCGGCCTGAAGCTCTTTAGATGTGGTCTGCACCAACCATTTCAGCTTGGCTCCACGTCCTGGAGGCGTCTTGACAGTTTTGTGACTGAGGAACTTCTTGATAACATTATAAACTGTTAAAACAGGGATTTCAAGATCTTTGCCAATTGCCTTGTAGCCTTTGGATTTGTTATGCTTCTGAATGATAGCATTGCTGATGCTCTCAGACAGCTCTTGTCTCCATCATTGTGAAAAAGAAACTGGAAACAATCAGCCCCTTTTCATGTAGTAAACCCATCATTCATCGGTTAAACCAGGTCATGTCCACAGGTGAGTTTTATTATTTTTATTTTAAATTATTATTATATTGTTTAAGGGACTAATTAATCAAAAGTGTCCATCCTTTATGTTTTTCAATAACTTTGGACCGGTTTTATTATTATACATTATACATAAATTGGTTCAGTTGCTTTTATTTTTTGAAAATATACTAAATTCTGTACTTAAAAATCAGGGGTGCCAATAATTATGTCCAGGAGTGAAGATAATGTACATGTATATGTTTTTATTTTATTTAGGCTAAGGGAATTTTTTATAATTTTTAATTTATTTAGTTTACATGTTTTAAATTGTAGTGTCAATTAATTGAGCCATAATTTATAACAGAGAATTAGTCGTATTATTTTATAGCTGAATTAAACATGAATAATGCAGTGCAGACTATCCAAGGATTAGGCTCTTGTTATTGCTGAATTTAAAGAGTAGCCTAATTCAGTGAGAAAGGGTAAAGCCAATCATTGATATATCTGCATTTAATGTATAAATAACACTTGAGTAAACACTGTTGTGAAAAGATATGGATTACTCCTGTTATTAGCGTAATGTATTTAACTGTCTCCGCTTTCGCTGCATGTTTTTAATGTAAATTCACATTTTGAAGAAAAAAATAACCTAATTAAAATAAGAACTCACCCTCAAACGTAATGATGAAAGAAGAAAACTGTGGACTCTTCTGTAACTGCATGTACTATCCAAGTGTTGTGACAAGGAGGATCGGATCGGATGTGTTGAGGAGCAGCGTGCGCTGTGCTGTGAAAGATGCACGAGAGAGAGAGAGAGAGAGAGAGGGAGGAACAAGCCAATAACTAGTTATTTGTGGCAAGCACACCCAAGCCTTTTAAACGAGGCTACGGGCAGTTTTATGTTGAGATTTCTCTAAAAAAAAAAAAAAAGTTTTACCAATGTAAGTCTATAATAAAGTAAATAATACAAATTACGTTAGAATCTTCTTCACACACTCTAAGATTTATTTTTGTAGCCAAGGCTATTTGTACACTTAGTTGTTGTGCAAATGTCTATAAAAATAATTAACCAAAAAAATTACTTAAAAGTTATCCATTTAAAATGAATAAAATTTACAAATTTTTTCTAAACAATAATATCGGAATAACACACTGAATAAGAACTGCTTTTTTTTCTTTTCCTTATTGCCATCGAAGAAACCTGATTTTAACAAGCAGAATCACGGAAGGATAAAAACATAATTTTGAGTCACCATTATGGTGATCAGTGTGTAGTTGGGCTCTTGACCCTTACATTATTCGGTAACACTTTATTTGAAGGGGTGTGCATAAGACTGACATGACACTGTCTTAAACATGACATAACACCTGTCATGAACATGAAGGAGTCTTTATGAAAGTTTATGACTGTTGTCATTCGGTAAATTATGACACTTCTAATGCAAAGTTGGCATTGTTTAAAATGTCTTTGTTATAACAACTTGACATTAACCAATAAATCATAACTAGTCCAACGTGTTCCACTTGAGGTAAGGGGAAATATTAATGACACTGTTGTTAAAGCATTTGACAGTTTAATAACCCTTAATGACATGTTTATAACTAGTACAATGTGTTCCACTTAACTTGAGGACAAGTAAAATATTCATGACACAGTTACAATGGTGTCATGACGGCCAAAGTCAAAACCAACCACATATGACAGGGTAATGTAATGTTAACACAAAGCTAAATAACATCTTTAAGTTTGATAATTAAACCTGTTATGACATGTTTGTGACTGGTTATGTCAAGTTGTCATAACAAAGAAGACATTTTTGTCTTGGTTAATGTCAAGTTTCCATAACAAAGACATTTTAAACAATGTCAACTTTGCATTAAAAGTGTCATAATTTACCGAATGACGCTTAATGACAACAGTCATAAACATTCATAAAGAAGACTCCTTCATGTTCATCACAGGTGTTATGTCATGTTTATGACAGTGTCATGTCAGTCTTATGCACACCCCTTCAAATAAAGTGTTACCGATTATTCATTTTAGATGTTGTTTGGCTGACATCTAAAAGATCCAATCCTCAATTTTATTGATTAGATTTAACATTCATTCCTATTCATTTTTACAGTGTAAAGTGCAATATTGTAACATCACGAATACTTTGTTGATTGGAAATAGGTAAATATCACTTTTTTTAGTTACAAACAAGTATTCTACAGTAACTTCCGAGGGAACAAATTATGGAAAAAATAGTTTTTGTTTTGAGCGCCAATTGAGGAACAACCTTAATTGGTTTTTAAATATATAAAACATTGTCATTGTTTAGATCCCAGTTTTCAACATGGATGATGGATTTTCATATTCGAATAAATGTCATAAAAGGCATTTAAAAAGTAATTGACGAAGGCATGGTAAAAAAGTTTCTAAGTGGCCTTTAAATAGCCTACACTCTGTGTGTAAGCAGCTTCAGATATTCAGTATCTTTGCTCTTTGTCCACTGTTTTTCTCTCCTTTTCATCTTACCATCATTTGCTAAATCAGGTATGTCTGTGGTCATAAAGCATGAAGATGCCAACAAACTAATGCAGTGGTGTCCAGTTAAATTCAGTCTTGTGAGAGCCAGGGCTTGACCACAACTTGTTTTCGTGTGTGGACTGCAGAGGTATGCAACTATCTGGCACTTCTGTCCACAATTATACAACCTATTGCCATTTCATCTTCGTGCAAAGCATTCATTCCCAGGTGAACTACAATTTGTCCACTACTTTGATTGAAGGTAGCTCACAATTACAAAACCCACTTACAAAAATACTTCTGACTGAAATTGTTTAAAGTCAAAATCTCATATATCTAAAGATTTTGATATATATCTAAAGTCAAATATATGAATTATGCCTTCACCGACAACGCAAGCAGCTTAATTTTTATTTATTTGGGAAACCAGATCATGAAATTTAATAAATGAACTTTGCAGATTTCCTCTGTACTGCAGAAGGCATCAGTTGTTCTGTTTAATAAGACTGTGTTGTTTTTTCAGCCAAAATTAAAAGTTTAATGACTAATACTTTTGAGCCAACTTATAAAACGAAAGCACTGGGGAAACACGTTATCACAGAGCAAAAACACCATCAAACCTGCAAAGACAAAGCAAAAGGTCACATCTGTGTGTTTGGGGGGTTGTCCCGAGATTGGGTTACACTTTATTTCAATAGTCACTTTAGACATTCTACTAATTATAAGTAACTTTTCAACTACATGTCAACTAACTGTCATTAGAGTATCAGTATATCATAGTAGACTGTTAGGTTATGGTTAGGTGTCAGGCTTTGGGTTAGGAGAATAAGTTTACTTGTAGTCGCCAACTTACTTATACTCAGTTGAATGTCTGTTGGGGGACCAACAAAATAAAGTGTTAGCAAATATTAAGCTGACTGTCTACTAATACTCTAAAGACAGCTAGTTGACATGTAGTTGAAAAGTTACTTATAGTTTTTATGAGATTGTTATGAGGTTGATATTCAGAGCTCAGAAGTACAGGAAACATTTCCACATGGGGTTTTATTGCTTTCTCAAAGAATAGATGTTAATTATGATTTTAAAGGGATTTTCTTGCAAAGCCCAGAAACAAAATATAGATTAATAGCCAAAATAGATTTCAAATATATGCTAAATATGTTTTAAATGGCTTAAAGAAATGTTTCAAATTGAAAAATATTTCTGTTAAACCTTGAAATGACAAAATATATTGCACAATGCAAAAAATACATTTCCAATTCCAAATTTAAAAGTATACTTCCGATTTCTTACATTTTCTCACCAATTTGTGTGTCTGGATAGTAACCAAAAAGTTGACACAACCTGACAGTAGATCACTCAATGTAAATTACTTCTTAATATTAGTTTTCTTCTTCTGGATCAAGCTTTATCAGCGCGATATCATACAAGCAGCGGTACAACTGTGAGTGTAATATTGCTTTCATACAGTTCTATAAACAAAAGTTTACTATATCACCTAATATAATTTAGGTGTTTTTGCTCTGTCAAAGAAAATAGTTTCAACTAATGCTAAAGCAGATTCAAGCACTGGACTACAAATCAAAGATTATGAATATAAAACAACCGATCTATTCAAATCAAATAAATTGACCATAATATTGCCTTTTTGGAACCAGTCTTGTTTTCCAAAACTACAATTTTGGAATGAAATCTGTTTATGGTTTTCCAAGTATTTTAAGGACACGTCCTTTTATAACATATCATCTTTAATTTCATGCTGTCATATGAGCAGGCAGCCAGTCAGTAGCCAAAAGATTTAGGCCTAAATGAAACTTTCCATAAACATAAAACAATATCAGTTCAGTCCATTTTGTGTGTAAGATTCACAAGTCAAGATTCATCATTCTGATTCAGTTACTGAGTTGGTAACTTTTTTGAACGATTTATTTAACAAACTCCTAAGACTCATATATTCACAAACCAATGGTCATGTTCATTTGTTTTATTCCAGTGACACTATAGACAAGCGCCACAGGATCAGCAGTATATGGTGTTTTGTCCACATAGAAAGACCTTCAAGAACCTTTAACAGAAGCAGGATTCATTAAAATGATTTAGTTCATATATTTTTCTCGGTTTCTAACCATGGCTCACGCTGAACGAGACTCATTTTAGTAGACATGAACACATTTTGCAGAGGCTATATAGCAAACTACACACAGATGCACTGACGCATACATATCCTTCTCGTCTGTTTATGTGAATATGATATCTTGTCCTCAGGATACAGCAGAAATACTGATGTTTTTGTCTGCAACTGATTAGCCTGTGAATTGTCAGTACAACTCTGCAGGTTCAATCAATCTGGTTTGAGTTTTGATTTAAATAGCCAGTTCATGAAAATTACTCATATAATCAGAATCAGGAACAAGTGTGACTTGTTTATGAATAAAAGTCTGTGGCTTTCTCATGCCTGCTTCTCTTGATTGAAAGAACAGCTAAAACAGCTCTTTCTCTGAGAGATTCCTTTCACCTGAAAGATGAAACATTCCCCCACACACACACACACACACACACACACATTTTCATGTTTTATGGGGACTGTAAAATGGTTTTTATATTGCACAAATTGTATATTATCTCCCCTACATTAACCCAACCCATTGCCAGGGTTATATTCTGTCATTTTTAATAAATAACAATTTTTTTAGCATTAGCATTCTCGTTATTTATGACATTGCTCAGAATATATGTTATATGCTATATTTGTGGCAATGCTGTTTTGTTCTGAGTCCTGCCCTCACTTTCTTTGTGATATCACGATTAATGAACCTCTATTTGTGCTACAAATTAATCAAACTCATATGTTTGGTTAGATAATGAATTTGGTGAATAATTAGATGAGTTTCACCTGTTTCAACATTTGTCTGTTGCAGTTACATTTTACAGGAGTGTATTTGATTATATTTATTACATATTTTCTGTTAATTCACGAAAAAGTACATTGATGAAGGGTCAATTATGCAGGACAATTATACATGTCTGCAGAATAGCACCAAATGAACAAATATCTGTTTATATGTCAGGAAAAACTAAACTAGTCCAATTGGCTTTATGCCCAGCTGCACTACTTCCTGAACTCCAGCCAGCTCCTTGTTTCCTGTCTGCTATCATTGGCCAAACTTGATTAATTCAGGTGTGTCTGATTATTGTTGCCATGACTACTGAGGTCAGGCACACCTGAATCAATCAATTTGACCA